TTTGCCTGATTTAGCCAAAGAAGTCTTTGCCCTTCTTGGATGTTTTTCCTTCTAAGTTTGTGTGAGAGGAGCCCCAAAAGCTGATCAAGACCTATAAGAACTACCCTGGTATACAGTGGGAACTAAAATGATGAAGTCATTTTTTTGGTGTCTATCCCCCACCCCCCAAGCTTAAATAAAGGCTGTGAGATTTTAGGTCACTCTTGCCCCTTTTAAATCTGTGGGATGTGTTAAATCGGTCAGAGTCAGAACAGCTTTAGAACTCAGCTCTTCTGGAGGCAGAAATTGTCTTCAGTGGTTGCATAACAGGAAGCAACTTTAAACAGCTGGGTCTCTTGAGTTGACAATGTGGCCTTAAAAGTCTGCTCCCCCACCCCCCTTTGTACTTTCTTTTCATCTTTCCCAGGAGGAAGGAGGTATTATAAACATCAAGCTTCACACTGGCCTCAGTAAAGTGGCCCATTTCCTCTTACCATTGTCCCTGTCTTCTCAGCATGGCGGGTGGATGATTCTCAGTCCTGACAGCCCAGCAGCAGTTCAGCTCCCCTTTAACAGTTTTAAACTCTCCAGTGCCCTGAGTGCTCTGGTTTCCAGGGTGACCAATCACAGTCCTCACGTGGAGAGAGACTTGTACTTTTCCCATCTGGCTATCTTCCTCTTGCAAGAGTCCTTAGTTAATTGCCCAGTGCCATGAGGTTGGGCTTCTTGGAGCACGCTGGGAACCTCCCACTAGAGCATGCTGGGAACCTCCCACTGGAGCATGCTGGGAACTTCCCACTGCAGTTGCCTTATTTTGTTGGCTATGCTTGGTGCTCAAGTGGCAGGGTTGCCACCTCACCCTTCCTGATTGAGTGAGACACTGTTCTCACTTCCCTTTACCTGGCTTCCTGCCCATGCTATGTTGAGAAGGTCCTCATCCTTATGGACTTTGACCTAAGTGAGAAGTTTGGCCATGGCACAAGTGGTGAGCAGATTTGAAAGCCGGCCTCAATAGGTAAAACCCCTAGCTTAGAGGTTATTCCAGAGAAGCCCTACATGTCACACTTTCTGAAGAAATATTTGGGGGGGTACTATGTTACTAAAATTCTCAAACTTTATCTTACATCCTTTTAAGTTGATTCTTGCCAAGCAGAATTTAAGAGCCTTTTAAATAAAAGCCCTTGACAATAGCTATATGTATTATAACTTGGTACTGTTGGTACTTTTTACTCTTTATTCTAATTACATGTCTTGACAGCAGAGATCACATCCGTTTGGACTCAGGTACTTTGGGTACTCCTGAAGTCGGTTCCTTAAGACAGGGAGTGGGGTTGCCAGGGAGGACACAACCTTTCCCTTGTTCAGCTTCAGAGACCACTTGGCTAACTCTCTCTTTGGCTTAGGAATATGTCTACAAGCAAGGGTTGCCTAGGGCTCGGCACTTTCTCTAGGGTCTCAGGACCCTAGAGAACTGTAGGTGACCCCTGAAAGGCTAAGGGTACAGTAGTCCTCCTTAATTGTGAAGGATACATTCTAAGACTTCCAGTGGATAGCACCAAACCCTATATGTGCCATGTTTATTTTTATATATACATACCCATAATAAACCTTAATTTATAAATTAGACACAGTAAGAGATTAACAGCTACTAATAAAATAGAACAGTTATAACATGTAAAATATAACTACACTGTACTCTAACAGAAGCTATGAATATGGTCCTTTTTTCCTGCAAGACTCAGGACAAATACAGTGGTACCTCAGTTCATGTATGCTTTTGTTTGTCAACACTTTGGTTTGCAACCAGAAGCATTTGGCAAAATGTTGTTTCTGTTTGGCAATTCTGCACTGGGTGACAAACATGACTGTGACAGTCTTTCCTGCACGAACATGAATGTGGCCCTTTTTTTTGCAGAATTGTAAGTTTGTGAACCAAGGTACCACTCTAGTATTTTCTGACTGCAGGTAAAAGAAACCTCACAAAGTAACAGGTAAGGGGGTGGCTATAAACCGGAATTTGGCGTGTGAGATCTGCCTCACCAGGGTGCCCAGGGTAAAGGAGGAGGCAGTAATTGGAGAGCATTGGAACCCAGTCCACATCTCAGTGGCCTAACAACCCTCCACCCCTAGCCCCTGGGCCTGCTCAAAATGAGGATGCTGCACCTTAGAGATGGTGAATTTCAGACAGGCCAGGCCAGCTGCCTGCACTCATTTATTTTACTGAGATGTGGCCAGAAACAGTAACACATCAGTGTGACGAGAACCGGAAGCACAAGGGGGAAGTGTGTTCTGGAATTTCCTGTCATGGATATGTGTCAGGGCCCATATTTTTAGCTTTTCCCTTTTGTGAAGGAAGTCAAGAGATATACTTGAAACAACATACAAAGATGTCAGTTTCACATGGACAGCATGTCTAGGTAATAAAAGTGTGGTTATGTATACAGGGCCTCTAATGGGCCTGCAGTGAGGGTATGTTGGTCATGAGTAGTGGTTTCACTATTAATTTGTGTGAAGGCCAGAAAGCTGGGGTTACAGAAGGACCATTTAGAAAAGTATTGTGTGAGCAAAGACATCACTGGTACATTTGTTTTGTGAGGGTCCTTTGCCGGGTATCAAATCCAAGAGGCTGAGTTAAAATGGCAGACAGGGCAGTTGGTTATCGATTGTTAGCGTATGTCCATAGCATTTTCATTTTGCTTAGTGTATTTTTCCCCTCATCATACCTATTTATAATGAGTTTATTACATACTGTGCTTATCTTTGGCTCGTCAAAAAGACACTTGAACATTTTGCTGAAATGAGTATATTTATTCCTTCTTAATCTGTAAGGTGCAGCCTTACTCGACTATATATTCTGTGACAACACTGAGTTAGTAAAATCGTATCATAACTAAATAAAACCGTAGCTAACGCCCACTAAAATAAGCTTCAGTTAAAAACACATACTCTTTCTTTTTTTAACAGCCTTATTTTGAGACATAATTTGTATACCATACAAGTCAGCCCATTTGGGTGAATTTTTCCACAGTCACCTAAGGGAAAATTCTTGGTGGGGATATTCAGTGTCTGAAACACACTGTTCCATAGACAACATTAACTATTACCATTGACAGGTGAGTTATCCAGCAGTGAACAAGCTGTAGTGATTGTAAGAGAATCTGAATAATAAGTATGTGAATTTGGGTCTTGGTTCTGCTCTTCGTGTTATGATTTTGCAGCTAGTTCATCCTTGTGAGGTTCTGATTTCCTTCTCTGGTTCTGTCTTTATTTTCTTTTGCATATGCTAATGGTGGAAGTGTCCTTAATATTAGCAGCTTTCCTGGCCCTCGTGCAGTGCGGACCTTGATGTGCAGCTCTGTGTCCCAGTTACTGCTTTGGGAAGGATTCACATGTTCTTCCTGGGCAACAGGGAAGGAATTCTTTACCTGCAGCAGTATTAACTGGAAATGTGGACTTTGTGCCTAGGGCTGATTTAGAGGATCCAAGCAGCGAAGAGAACATGAAGACAGCCACTGTCCTTTAGGAGCTATCAGTCTAATCTTTACACCATTGGGCTTTTGGGACAAATAAGCTAGAGTTTGTTCTATGAGATAGATTCTGGAGAATTCTATAAAGAACCTTTAAAATACTGATCATGGGCACATCCCACCACAGAAGTTCTGATGGAAATGATCTGAGGTGTGCACTGGGCATTGGGATGTTTAAAAATTGCTCAGGTAGATGGGCATGGAAGCACATACCTATAGTCCCAGCACTTGGGAGGCTGAGCAGGAGGATCACTGTGAGTTTGAGGCCAGCCTGGGCTACATAGTGAGACCTTGTCTCAAAACAAATGAACAAACAAACAAACAACCAATCCCCAGGTGATTCTAATATGCTGTAAAGCAGACAGTTACAGATACCACTGGTTTTCCAGTAACCTATGCTTTGGAGATTTTACCTGACTCAATGGACTAGGATGTCAGAATCCAGAACTTGAGTGAGATGACAATATCTTGGGCAGCCTGGGGTCTTTCCTGATCATCCCCCATGGAGAGTGGATGGATACCAAGAGCACCCATAGAGGCCTGTTTCAGAGCCTGTCCTCTAAGAGCAGAATGGGACCTTTATGTCTTTGGAGAAAATGGAAAGTTCTTTATTTCTTAAATGTATGACAAGTGTCTTAATCTAGAGAGTTGCTTCAGTGTCAGTTTGTAATGGAGACAGGAAGAAATTACCCTCCAACATTCCAAATAAGTAGACAGTGTCCTAAAATGGCTCAGACAGTTAGCCTTGTAGTCTGTGTGAGTGTGGTTAATTTCTATGTCAGTCTCCTGGTTTATTTATTTCTTGTGGGATGGTTAAGACCACCGGTTTTGGGCTGGGCCTTGTGGCAGACACCTATAATCACACTGATCTGGGAAGCTGAGGCAGGAGAACCACAAATTTGAGTTCAGCCCGGGCAACTTGACAATTAGTGACTTAGCAAAATTCTGTCGCAAGATTTTAAAGATGGTGGTGGTGGAGGGGTGCTGGGGATGTAGCTCAGTATGAAGACCTGGGTTCAGTTCCCAGTACTTAAAAACAACAGCAACAAAACAAAAACCAGGCCTTGGACTGAGCATGGAGCTCAGTGGTAGAATGATTGCCTATCACATTGGTCCCTAGCACTGCCTGCCTCCCACCCCCAAAAGCCACAAATTTTGAAACCAGACCAATTCAAATCCTAACGCTGCCAATTACCAGCTGTGTCATGTTAAGTGAGTTTCTTAACCTCTCTGGGCTTGTTTGTCTCAGCCGTTAGCTAGAGATGATAATAGGTCTTCCTTACCAACACCCGGCGTGCACTAGTGTAAGTTAGCACTTGCCGTGACAATGGTTTTGAGCATCATTGCACTCTCAGCGTGGAGCAACTTGGGAAACAGGTGTAATTCATATCTGTCCGTGTGCTGCCCGGGAAGAGCGCCTTTCAGAGGGACAGGTGGAGCTGTTGCTGCTGAGGGCTAACACACCTGCCTTGCCTTTCCCACCATGCTCCCAAGAGCACAGAGCAGGTGGCCGCGTTTTGCCGCAGTTTGCACGAGATGAACCCTTCTGACTCGAGCCCGTCCCCTCCGGATGCCACGGGGCCCCAGCTGGCCACCATGAGACAACTGTCGGATGCAGACAAGCTGCGCAAGGTGATCTGCGAGCTCCTGGAGACCGAGCGCACCTATGTGAAAGTAGGTCTCTCTCTTCCCAGGGCCCTTCCTGCTGTGTCTGCCCTGCTCTCGCCTGACAGCGGGGTCAAAGTGTGGAGCTGGAGAGTGTGTAGCCCTTGCTGATAGAACTGGGCTTTTATTCTGAGTGTTACAGTTTCTTCTTATAGCCCCGTGTGATGAGGTGATGCCCACTTGTATTACCAGCACTCTGGGAGGCTGAGCCAGGAGGATCACAAGTTTGAGTTCATCCTGGCCAACTTAGTAACTTAGCAAGATGCTGTCTGAAAATAGAACATAAAGAAAGGCTGAAGATGTAGCTCAGTGTGAAGACCCCGAGTTTAGTGCCCAGGACAATAACTAGCTAACTAATTAACTAACTAACTAAGCAAGCTGTAGAAAGTTAAGAAAGCATACCAGTTCTTATAGCAATTCATTGATACATGTAATTACAGCAGTTCACTGATATATACATGAATGGTTGAGCAAATAAGTGGAATACAGTGACTATTAAGCGATCTTTCTGATCTTCCTAACTCTATTATAAAGCTAATGCTAAAGCTGAATTGAATGTTTGAAACACGTGAAAGCATTACCTTCATAATCTGATTGGAGTCGAGGTGGAAGGGTGAGATCTCTTCTTTGTACTGTTGCTCGTCCTGATGTGGACTGATGTTCCTCACATGAAAGGATTGTGATGTCTTTCTATCTGTATTTTAGTCTTTAAGTCAGGGGCAAGAAAGTTATGGCCCTCGGGCCAAAGCCAGCCTGCTGCCCATTTTTGCAAATCATCTTCTGTTGGACCCTGGTGTTAGTTCCTGTGCCCACCTGCTCTGAGGGCGCAGCAAGATGCGGTGGGGTGGCCCTGACCACGTGGCCTACAGCACCTGAGCTGCTGACGGAAGAAGCAGTCTTGTTTCTGCATTAATGATCACTGTGCTGTTTGTGTTGGAAACATAATCTGTTTTTCTTCTCCTTTAGGTTTGCTGTGTAGACTTTTAGATGTGCTAATGAGATATCCTTCCACCTTTTAGGACTTGAACTGTCTCATGGAGAGATACCTGAAGCCGCTTCAGAGTGAGACTTTCCTCACCCAGGATGAGGTATAGTGGGCATTGTCTTGGCTTGGTGAGATCATGTTGTCCATTGACTTGTGGGAAAGAGGAGGGAGTCGGGGGGCATGCATAATACTGAGAGCATTTTGAACTTGTGTATTTATAAGAAATAGGTCAAATGTTGCCTGTTAAGCTTTGGTGTACCCTGGGAGAAGCGGCTGTTCCATCCTGTGGTAGTAGACTTATTACCCTAACTGATAAATACTAATAGAGTTTCTGAACACTTACGAAAGGTAGGGTGGATTAAATCCTTTTTCATTTTTCAGCTTGATGTGCTTTTTGGAAATTTAACGGAAATGGTGGAATTCCAAGTAGAATTCCTCAAAACGCTAGAAGATGGAGTCAGACTGGTACCTGATCTGGAAAAACTTGAGAAGGTCGACCAGTTCAAGGTCAGTCTCGCCTCTTAGTGTCACGGGTGGGGCTCCCTCGCGGTCAGAGTTGAATTCCTTAGCAGCACATGGCAGGGGCCCTACGCAGACTTGTGCAAGCTGTTGTCCCCGTGGTGGGACTGGGACTGCTGGGTGGGGCAAGTCCCAAAGGAAGTCAGCGTGGGAACTGACTCATCTTGCTGTGTGTGTGGCTCACGGAAAGCCGGTGCCATCTACTTGCATTAAATTGGTTCATCTGCTGGCTTCTATTCCACAACATGTACTAACCTTGACCTTTTGTTTTGTTTATGAGCGAGCCTTTAATAAATTAGCTATTAGCAAATTAAAATAGCACCTCTGGCCTCCCAGTAAACAAATTAATTTATTGTGTTCTGGGAAGGTTTGCCGGATGGTAATGCGTATCATTATCCAGGAGGGAGGCAGCCCTTCTAGCACACGGTGTCCTTGCAGCCTTAATGAGGATTTATGATCAGTGCCTTCATAGGATGCTCGTAGTTTATTTCCTCTGCCCGGTTGGCTTTCCTTTATGGCAGAGGTTTCCTGTTTCGAACCTCCAGCTGACAAAACTCACTTACTCATGTGTTGCGTAGCATGTCACCCTCATACACTATTTGAACAGATTAATAACATGTAATTAGCATACAGTGCAGTGCATCTATTTAAAGTGCAGCGTTTCATGAATTATACACACACATTTCTATAAAACAACACAATACAGCACAACCGGGCCAGTGAATTTAGTCATCACCCTGAAAGTCTCTTTCTGCACCTGTGTGATTTCTCTGTCCTGCGTCCTACTTCGTCCTACCCGAAGGCATCTGTGCTCTGCTTCCCATTACTATGGATACGTTCAAATACATAAGTTTGGATAAAATTTCCTCTTGGGAATTAGCAATGACCACCAGTCTGTAGGAGGCCTTCTGAAATCCTAGAGATGACAGCGTTGGGTAAAGGTGTTTGTGTGCATGTGTGCCTGTTATGGTTTGTGTCTGGGTGTCCCCCCAAAGCCTCACGTGGCCATGGGGCAGGCTTTTAGGGTTTGATTGATTATGGGTGTGAGAGCTACACCTGCCCTGGGGTGGATAGTTTGCATATGTAAGGGAGAGGAAGAGGCTGCTTGCTGCCATTCCTTCCCTTGCGTGTGTGCTTGTTGCTTTGCTGTGTTCTGCCGCCATGAGCTGTAGCCCTCTGCCATGTGCCACTCTGCCTTGTAACCTGCCAAGTATGGACTGAAACCTCCACAAACTGTAAGCGAAATGAACCTTTCCTTCCTTAATTTTGGGCATCAGGTATTTTGTCCCAGCAACGAGAGAAAAGTAACCAAAACAGTGCCCCAAGATCCATCTTTAAGGCTAGAAGAATAAATGGATCCTTAGTATTTATATGTGGTTGATATATATAGTAAGTGCATGTATACAATGAAAAAAAATCTGTCTATACTATGTACATATATATGTGTGCATATAAATGCTTGGCATATGTGTATATACTATATAACATATTATATATATATACTATATAACATACGTAAACATTTTATGTAATATATATCTATTATACCCAGTCATGTCTATCAAGTTAAAGCTGGGCATGGTTGTGCATGCATGTAATTCCAGCACTTGGGAGGCTGAGGCAGGATGATCATGAGTTTCAAGCCAGCTTGGGCTACATAATAACTTTGTCTCAAAATAATGAGTTAAACACATGAATGGCTTTAGTGTCACCAGAAGGAGGTGTTACATAGAAAACGTTTTCCTCCATTCCTTTTCTTGTTTAATTCTTAAGGGTGGCCCAAAGGATAATGATCTGTTCTCATAGAATCAGATGGCTCCTGCTGATGCCCTTCTAAGTAGGAGTGTTGAGAAAGTAGAATTTGTAGGAAGAAGCTTCAGGCTGATGATTATGTGTCGTCCAAAGAAACCTTCTTATTTGCCAGCAGACACTTAAAACTTACTGTGTATTAGATCAGTTGCATGGGTTGGAGCCCAGTTTATCACTCAAATCCAAAGCCTTAATTGTTTGCTTGGACCTAACTCTTAATTCTGTGCCTAAGTGAACAAAGCTGCTGTCTGCACAAGACTGGAATGTTGTGAACTCATGAAGGACACATTCCTGAGGCTCCTTCACTCATTCATACAGGCTGAAGAGACGGCGCCTAATTCCACAGTGGGGCATATTTTCTGCTTTAGCATCACTGTGTTCTTACCTGCTACCTGCTACAGGTATAGAGCAGGTTTTGGAGAGAACAGATGTAGTGACCAAGGGACATGTGCGCTGTACTTTTGGAAGCGTGAGCATTTCCTGCTTTTACTTGGTTTCTCACATCTGTCTCCCAGCAAGAATTCATGAGAAGAGACTTCAGGAGATTTCTGTCTTTTCCAAAATGTATTTTTTCTCATCAGCCCCCCTGGCATCCTAGAGAGTTTGTCTTGGTTACTTTTCTCTTGTTGCTGAGACGAAATACCTGATGCCCAAAATTAAGGAAGGAAAGGTTTATGTAGCTCAGTTTGTGGAGGTTTCAGTCTGTACTTGGCTGGCTCCAAGGCAGAGTGGCACATAGCAAAGGGTGCCTGTTCATGAAGGTGGAAAACAGCAAAAGTGAGAAGAGCAGGGAGAAGTGGCAGCAAAAAGCCTGTTTCCCTCCCTTACGTATGCAAAACTGTCCGCCCCAGGGCAGGTGTAGCACTCACACCCATAATCCCAGCATTGGATCATGGATCAGTCATAAGCTCTAAAAGCCCGCCCTATGACTGCATGAGGCTTTGGGGGGACATCCAGACACAAACCATAACAGAGGTCATTAAAAGACATAGGTCTGGAGAGCTAGGGGCAGTGCCATTGTAAATATCTGTTGCACACGTTCGTAAGCCCTTGGCAGAGAGCTGATAGGCAGGGATGCTGCTCTGTGGGGAGGGGAGGCAGACCTACCTGCCGTGGAGACCTCTAGTTGAGGAGGAAGGTGAACCAACCGTGCCTTTTCTCATTAAATCCAGAAAGTGCTGTTCTCTCTGGGGGGATCCTTTCTGTACTATGCTGACCGCTTCAAGCTCTACAGTGCCTTCTGTGCCAGCCACACGAAAGTCCCCAAGGTCCTGGTGAAAGGTGAGTCCTCTGACATGTCCTGCAGACCCAGGTGTCAGTTGTCATTCACGTTCGTGAGTCTGTTTACGGTTACGGTTACTGGCCTTTAGAAGAAGCCCAAGAGTCACTGATGTGTTGGAAAGACATCCCAACAAGCCACAAATATGGGTCTTGCGAAGTGAAAGACATTAATATCTGAGTTACTCATTGTATCGGTTTTCTTGTAATGAAAGTTTTGACTTGGCTGTTCTGGGCCAGAATTGATAGGTCATTTTGCAATTTTGTTTAAAAATCCCTGCTTTATTCCTGTTTTTCATTAATGAAGTCAGGCTAGTTCTCTTAACCTACCACACTTTAAATAACTTTTTAAGGAGTTACTTCTTTCTTTTAACTATTTTTGTCCCTAGATGTATGTTAACTGCTACTGACATCACTACTAAAGTTGTTTCAGTCGTGCACTAAAAATTGCTCTAGTTACAGTTATTTTTACACAGAACAAAGTAGAATTTTTATGTTGGCAAGATACTTTTCTCTTTATACTTTTCCCTACTTTAGCAGTGCTGAGGATCAAACCCAAGGCCCTGTGCATGCTAGGCAAATGCTGTAGCACTGAGCTGTACCCCCCGTCCTGATACTTTTTTTTACATGTTCTGAGAAGATGATAAAATGTCCTGAGAGTCCCCAGAAAGCAATTGTGTTTCCATAGCTCAGTGTTCTGGAGTTGGTGATAGGTACAGATGATCACAAGAAAGAAAAAGTAGAATAGTCAACAGAGGCTGGGAAGGTACGGGGTGGCAGGTTAGGAAATGGTTGGTTATTAGGTTAAAAAAGGTAAGTACAATTAGAAACCAGGTGTGATGGTGTATGTCTGTCATCCCAGCACTGTGGAGGCTGAGGCAGGAAGATTTTAGCAAGTTTGACCTCAGCCTAGGCAATTTAGTGAGTAAGGGAGACCCTGCTCCAAAATAAAAAAGGGCTGGTGTATTAGTTGCTTTTGACATTGCTGAGACAAAATACCTGACACCCACAAGTTAAAGTAGGAAAGGTTTATTTCAGTTCGCAGTTCGTAGAGGTTCCGTCCGTAGTTGGCTGGCTCCAAGGCAGCGTCATGGCAGAAGGGCATCGCAGGGAGAAACAGTCTATGGCAGCAGACAGAAGGCAGCAAGCAGCAGTGAGCCTGGATCCCTTCTCTCCCTTTATAATCCCTACAGGCTGTGAGCCTATTGATTGGTGCCGCCCATACCCAGGGTGGGACTTCTACTATCCGCACCCTTCATCCCAGTATCACACCCTTAATCTACATTCACATACCCTAATCTAGTCGCCTTCAAAGCTCTCCACCTATGACCATGCGACACTATGGGGAGCATCTGGATACAAGCCAGAACAGCTGGGCATGTAGGTCAGTGTGAAAGTCGCGGGTTCAGATTTCATTCAGCACCACAAATAAATAAATAAATCAGTGAAATTTTTACAATTAAAAGGAATTAGTTTTACTGTTCCATAGTACAGTAGGGTGACTATAGTTAACAATAATATGCATTTTAAAATGATAAGATTTTGAGGGTTCCTAACACAAAGAAATGATAAATAGGAAATAGGTATGCTGCTTACTCTGATTTGATCATTCTATATTATGTATATTCATTGAAGTATCACACTATACCTGCTCATGAATGTGTACAATTATTATCTATCCATTTAAAAAATTCCACTCTGTTGAAGCAAGAGGTTTTCACAAATCAATGTAATACGTAATATATATGAATTATCCAGTAATATAAATAAAGATACCCCTCTTCCCAAAAAAGTATTAAAGAAATATTTTCTTGGTAAACAGTACAATCAATAGACAGTTTGGTTTCAAAGAATCTCTGGAAATCAGCCTGTTATTTCTTAACATTTCACTGTGACTGCCAAGCAGACATCTGCTAATCAAGTCCCTTGATATGTAAATAATTTCCATGTGTTATGCTTATGTTTGCTGCCAAAGAGAACTAGCTCAACTTAATTTAAAAGCTATTAGAGGAAATATTGGTATAGTATGGGTCTCCGGGTAATAGAAGAGCCTGTCGCAGATAATGACAGACTTAATGGTAGTGACAGTCTGCAACAGGATTCAAGGAAGCTCCTTGTCATACTGTGGGACCTTAACCACATTTTCACATGTGCTGCATTGGTCATACAGTTCTGTGTATATGTTTCTTTTCAAACTTTTATTGATTGCTAGTTGTTAGCAATTTATTAAAGTAACCGTTTTAGAGTACTTGGCTCCATATGAAATTATATACCCATTACATTTCTTTGAGCAACAGTGCTTTTTAAACATTACTCAATTAGATTAAATTCTGCCCCTATGGATTTTTCTTAATTCAATAACATTATGTTTTGTACCTGAAAATATCACATTAATATTTAAAACTATCCCTTAAAACAGCAGGCATGACCTACATTTTCCTAATTGCCAAATGAGCCAGGAGCATGAAGAGATCTCTTTGAGGACACATGTGGGGCTTCTAACAGACTCACAGCTGGGTTGGGTGGGAGCAAACCTCCTGCGCATCCCGAGCGCTGTGAAATGTACTTCGTGGGCTTGAGTCCCACACCAGACTTTTGGACTTGAGGATTGGTGTGTGACGGGTGGGGTTCCTGCACTTCTTCTCGATGTGGCCGAAGACTTGGGGTGCCCCCTGAAAACCACAACTTCCCTGCCTTATAAGCCAGTGGGCCACTCATTTTCCGTGGTCTTTTTCTTCAGGGATTTCTTTGAGAGGAGCAGAAGAACGGGGCTGGACCCATGGAATCTGATTCCTTTTGATAGAATTTAAAAACAGTGAAGAGACTGTAAGGTCTTCCCCCATGGTCACTTTTTTTTTTAATTGAAAAAAGACAGAAGAATCACCTTGCAGTTTCATGATGCCCTATTATAATATCCTTGGAGTTAGCTTATGCTCCTAAGCCCCAGTGATGGGGAAGAAAAAAATACACACACACATGCATATTTAAATATATGCCTGCTGGGTTTTAAAAAAATTATTATTCATTTATTCAAGAACTGTCTGAGTTCCTCTGACATGTAGGTGCTGTTATAAAAAGTGCTGAATCCCCGGAGAGCAGCATTTAATTTCTAATAGGCAAAAGTCACCTAGATGAATATGTAGATTCTGAAAGTGAAGAATGAGTTTGTTCAGAATATTGATTGTGTTTGTTTTTGAGTTCATCCTAAAGGATACAACTCAGGAATAGCCAGATGGAAGAGTGGCATAGGGCAGGCGCAGGTCGTCCTGCCAGCACCAGCCTGGATGGTTCCCGTGTCCACTGTCTCTCTCCTTTGGATAGATCTTCCTGTCTCTTCCCAGCATTGGTTTGCACCTGGAAGGCACTACTCGTGTTTTCTGGTCATCTAATGGCAGAACCCTTTCTGCTAGTTTGGGCCCTCCAGCTCTCCAGGGCTGCTTGTAGGCCCAGCTGGGACACAGATAAGAGCAAAGCTGGTGAGGAAGGTGCTGCCTGAGCTCAGTTTGGGTCCCCACCCTGTGGACACTAACCGCTAACCGAGGTAGCACCAAGTTGACATTGAACAGATCCCGAGGGAGATCAGCCCAGCTCCACAAGGCCACAGCTGTCAGGGGCTGCTGCTTCCTGCTTTCCTGACTGTGTTCCAAAGCGAGTCTTCTAGCAGTGAGACTCTTGAAAGCCTAGGAAAGCCGGGGTAAGGCACGTATAAAATGCGGGGTGGTGGCTAGGCGAGTGGATCAGAAGGTTGCCAAGGCTTGTCACTCACAGCCCGCAGGGCAAGAGCTGCTTCGCGTTCCAAGAGGAAGCTGCGGGGTCGGTCAGAATGCCGAGGAGTGAGAACAAAAAGTGGGCAAGAGACTCGCTGAGGGGAGTGATGTGGCGCTGGGAAGCAAGCTCACCATTGCTGGTTTGGATAATTTCCGCCAGCTCCGGGATCTAGTAGCTGCCAAGGTACATAACACCAGGCCCCGGGGTGATGGGGACAGGAAAAGTGACAGTGTCAGAGGTTCATAGGGGAGGTGGCTGCTTGTGGCGACTCTGAGTGGATGCTTGTGGGCAAGTCCTTTAGCACCTTCAGGAAGTGGCCCATCTGGGGAGGAGTCTTCCCAGGCTCCTTAAGTAAGGAGGGGCCCGCATGTCAAAACATCAGCGCAAAATGACATGCATGTTAGAAGGAGGAGAAACGGCAGCCCCTGAAAACCCAGGCGTTCAAGTTCATAGACTGCTACCCTTCAGCTCATTTGAGGGACAGCCGGGCAGTTGTCTGTCTGAGCTAAACCCGCCCCTTCCCCTCTTCTTCCTGTGAAGGGGGCACCTTGGAATAAGCACCCGTGAGTGGAACGGTGCAAAGGGAGGACCACCTGACAGTCTGTATCTAAACCCTTCCAGCCAAGACCGACACGGCTTTCAAGGCATTCTTGGATGCCCAGAACCCGCGGCAGCAGCACTCGTCCACGCTGGAGTCTTACCTCATCAAGCCCATCCAGAGGATCCTCAAGTACCCGCTGCTGCTCAAGGAGCTCTTCGCCCTGACCGACGCGGAGAGCGAGGAGCACTACCACCTGGACGGTGAGCGGCACCCCGGCCTCCCCTTCCTCGGCCTGAGAGGGTGTCTGAGCGGCCCCCTCACTTCCTGATTTGTGCTCTTCTAGTGGCCATCAAGACCATGAACAAGGTCGCCAGTCACATCAACGAAATGCAGAAGATCCATGAAGAGTTTGGGGCTGTGTTTGACCAGCTGATTGCGGAGCAGACCGGCGAGAAGAAGGAGGTAAGGACGCCTTTTTCTGGCCGGGTCTGTCTGGGCTTGGATTTTCTGGCTGTCTTTTAACGAGGTGCTCCCTGCAGATTCCGCAGTCATGTGGTTGCTTCTGTTGGTCGAGCTTTTGTCCTCTGTCCAAGGCTGCATTGTGACTTTTCTTCTCCAGTTGGACTGTCTTCCTTGATCTTAGCCAAAAGCCCCAGAATCGATTATTTAATACAGGAAGCTCTCCACTAGGCTTTGGAATCTCTGCTTTGATTCTAAGTGTGAAGATGAGCTCTTACTACCACAAGCCGGGCTATTGTAAGACTTGGCCTTCAGGATCAGCATAGCATCTGGCATATAATAGGTGTGGGGTAAATGTTAATTGGATGAATGTAAGTTTCCATTTTTTTTTCCAGTCTACTCAAAAACCTAGGTGGAAGCAGTAAGAGGGACAGATACACCTGCGAAAGGCTCAGGGAGAGCTAGAAGTTGTGCCTCAGTCACTTCCAGGGTCTTCCAAGAATAAAAATGCCCATAAAGCTGAGGTGGTGTGATCCCCCACCAGCGTGTCTGTCCACCCAGATCGGGGGGGAACATTGAATCAGTTTTGCTTTGCATTTAGAGAGAGAGAAAGAGAGAAAAGCTGGGTGGGAACTGTGAAGCACCAGCCTGGTCATGGTTAGGAGGGATAGGGCAAAGGAAGAGGGCAGAGTTTGGTGGGTTGACCATCCAGGTTCAGAAAGAAATCCAGTCATTATCACTTAGTCATGGAGATATAAAAATGAACACATTGAGGAATTTACTTTTTTTTTTTTTTTTTTTGAGACAGGGTCTTGCTATGTAGTTCAGGCTGACCTTGAACCCACTATGTAGCCTAGAGTGGCCATGAACTTGTGGCTATCCTCCTGCCTCAGCCTCCTGAATGCTGGAATTACAGGAGTGCATCACCACACCCACTTCTCTTACTCTTAAAATATGGAAGACTTAGTTGGGTGCTACAGGCTTCACCAGGAGGGCAGAAGTGCAGATCTGTGTGTGGGGTAAAGAGTTATAGGGGAGATGAAGTGAGTTTTTCACAGCTGGAGAAATCCATGAGGCCAGGGCTAGCCAGGACAGGATTGCATATCTCCGTTCCCAACACCTTGCAGAGTTGCAGAGGTGTGAGAGACAGTGTAAAAGCCTAGATTCAGAGAGCCCAGGAAGGCGTGCTGGAGAGGAGATGTCATTTTCAATGAAATGCTGTTCTTATTTTTTGTTTTTTGCCTCCATAAGATGAGGAGCAAAGCCTGGGAAGGTTTTTGGCCTACTTGACAGATAATTTAGTCCATCAGAGTGTAGAAGAAATGGATGCTGCTACCTTGGAATTAATTTTCACTATTTGGTGAAATGTTTTTAAAAACATTCTCCTTTTTAGAGAACAAAATATAGAAAAAGGCAAAAAGGAAACTCTGTTCTCAAAAGACAGAGCCCTACATTTTTAATGTTTTGGTGTTCCTTTGATTTAGAAAAATTAATAAATATGGGTATGCTTAAATATTCTCAAGGTAATTTTATATCTTGTTTTCTTTCCCTGAACACGAAATAGTCATATTATTTTAAATTTCTGTGTGATGTTTCATTGTGTGGCTGAACACTAATGTATCCTTAATTCCTATTGTCAAGCAAATTTCTTTTTTTTTTTTTTTTTTTTTTTTTTTTTTGTTTTTTCTTTTTTTGTTTTTTTGAGACAGGGTCTCTCTATGCAGTTCAGGCTGGCTTTGAGCTCACTTTGTAGCCCAGGCTGGTCTCAAACTTGCAATGATTCTCCTTTCTCAGCCTCCCAAGTGCTGGGATTACAGGCGTGTGCTACTGTGCCCGGCTATTAAGCAAATTTCTTAGTTTCGTTTACTAACTCCTAGGAATAATAGTATAAACATTTTAAATCATGAAACAACCCTCCCCCGTTGTTTTTTCTTTTTCGTTTTGACAGAAGCAGATTGTTCTGGGTGATAGATAGAATAAACATTTTCTTTCTTTCTTTTTTTTTTTTTAATTTTCATTATATGTCAAGTCAGTATTTGGATTCTAATGACCTTAGGAGAAGGTGACAGTGTTGCTAGCCAGTAGGTGATGTGCAGCGTGGGATGCAAAGAATGTATAAAAACAAAGATGAATGTGGTCAAAGTCAGAGGCTTTAAAAAGGAGTCCGGCTTAGGTAAAACTGGAGGTCCTTTGAGATGAAACCCTGAGAGTCGATCTGTCCAGCAGGGGACAAAAAGAGACGCAGAGCTGGGCAAAGCGCTTCCCACTGAACTCAGATTATAAATAGAAATGTGCAGAGATGGAGGGACCCTTGACAAAATGCCCGTGTTACAGGGGCGGAAAAACCTATTGCTATCAGAAAGCTCAAAGCCCAGAAAAATGAAAGTTTGGAAAAAATGTCCAAAGAGAGCAGAAGACCGTGTTTTAGCAGGAGAAGATGAGCCAGCAGCAGGAAATAGGCCTTCGACAGAAACTGATTACTCGGAGGCAGTTGATTACCTAAGGGGCATAACTAAACGGCTGTTGGATTGCTTTTTCTCAACTGAGGAAAATGGTCTTGAAACTGGAAAGGATGCGATAGCTTTGATTCCACCAGAATAAAACCTCAAGGAGAAGAGGGCCTGGAGGAAGAGTGCGACAACGCCAAGACCATTGCTGAGTCTACACCACCACTCGCCGCAGGCCTGCTTAGAACATGTAGGGAGATGAAGGCTGGTGACCGTGGGGCGACACGCATCATGTCCTGATTTCCGTGGAGGCGATTCTGGTCCTTGTAGTTCCCTTTTAATGGTGACATCCAGTAGAGACCTAGAGTGGACTTAGGAACAGTTGGCAGGCGGTTAGGAATAGGAACATTGGTCAGTATCTGCTGGTAGCTGCAGGTTTATGTTGAAGTGGTAGCATTCAAGGGACACAGGATGTCTGAGTCCTGTCTTCAGCCAGTTTTGCTTGGGGTGTCTCCAGGGTAGGTTCACAGAAAACAAAGCTGGCAAGGAAGCATTTCAGGATGAAACTGGGCCTTCGGTCTTCTACTCTCTGTAGAGTTGAGCTCCCTTTTCCCTGGGTAGGCAGAAGAAGAAGCCAAGAGGGCCTTCTCCCTGGGGAGGAGGCTGCAAGCAGCCTGACTAGGGAAGGCGTCCCTGTCTGGTTGAGGGAGAAGCCTCCCTGTGCACTCACCCTTGGAGTCTGGAGGAAGACAGATGGGCCGGCAGAAGCCGGAGGGGGAGGCTGTTGGTCAGAGTGAGCGGTCCCCGCCCCGTATTACACTCACCTTGTGGAAGTGTGTCAAGAGAGAAACTGAGGTGCACTGCAGCTCATGTTTTCCCCCAGTGTAACAAGTAAAATACTCATTCACTACACTAAATGTCTCACGCTTGACTGGTGCTGGCCACATGAGCTTGGCTTTTCTCGGTGCATCCCAAGCCTTGGGGTCAGAAGTGTTGTGTGTCTCTTCCTCCCAGGAGCCAGGCTGAAGCAGCAGCGGCTGTCTTGGGTAGATCCTTTCCATGGATGGCAGGTAGAGCTCAAGAAGGCTGGTGAAGGGTGGGCACGATGGCACCTCCCTGTACTCGCAGCAACTCAGGAGGTTGAGGCAGGGGAGTTACAAGTTTGAGGCCACCCTGACCAAGTCAGCCAGACCCTGTCTTGGAAAACAAAAAAAAACAGCTAGAGATTTAGCTCAGCAATCCCAGAGTTTAATCCCCAAAACGTGAATGAATGGATGAATGAATGAATGCATGCATACATGCATATATACATATATACATATATACATACATATATGCTAGTGGAAGCTTCTTATGGTGTCACATGACCATGCTCATCCTTACGGTGTCACATGGCAGAAGGTGCAGGTACATACAATTCTATTGGAGAAAGTGGAGTTTCAACAATCTAGTACAGCGACCTTTGATCACTTTTAAATTCATAGCACCAGTATAGTGCCCAAGAATTGTATTTACACATCTCATTACTGCTATGTAGAGATTGGGAAATGGCTAGTGGAGACTAGATAGTGCCCTTCCCTGGTGAAATCTGGTGCATTTAGTTGGTATGCTACTTAATATTGATGAACCAAGTAACCTGATGAAGTTTTATTAACCCTTGGTTGTTCTAACAGTAATGTGACACAGCAGTAGCAGTGTCTCCATACTCCACAGGGATAGTGCAAGTTGTGCTGTGTCCAGGGGCAGGTCACCAGATTGCTGCTGCAACTAGAAACACAGCAAGGTCATAGTGACAGCATCCACAGAGCCGTTTGTCTCTGAAAACTTAGTTCTGGCCCTTCAAGTGCTTGGACTCTTGCTGTGAGGAAGAGGATGTTCAGTTTTGTAGACCGGGGGAATAGGAGTGAGAGGCCAGGAGGCAGGTACACTGGGAGACCCGGGTGAGGAAGAGCTCCTACCACTTTGGGACGTTCACAGACGGGGTGCACCGTGGTCTGTGATAGTTGTACTCTGACGGGTACAGAGCGACCAGCGGATCTTCCCGCCTGTGATGGGAACCACCCTGGCAGTGAGGAGTTGGGATTCCGACAGGTTTGAAGGGGAATGGGGAGTCGGGGAGGAAAGCTAAACACGACCACAGCACTTCTGTCTCAACTTGGAGGATGTGTGCCAGCCCCTCAGTGAATGGCCCAAACTGTGCATAGTGCCACGGTCGCTCTGTACTGTGATTTCCCCTCCACAGTCACACACGTATGCAGTGCCCTTCCCATGTCCACAGGCACTTGTCACGCACCGTAGCCGTAACTTCTGCATTTTGAGGGGTGGCAGCAAAACTAGCTCAGATTCCTTTTTCTTCATTCACAATTTCATGGAGAGAAGATTTGTTCTTAGCAACCTCAGCCTGCAATTTTCCTCCCTTATTATTTGGAGAACTTTCACCTTCTCAACTTAAAGGGAGCACCTGACAGCTTTTCTTTGTCATATTCCAGTTTCCAGTGTCAGTATTCTCGCTCTTTGAGACTGTTCTTAAATAAAAACAAGCGTTTCTTTAACACAAGCACTGTGATCGTGTAACCGTTGGTACCCAGAACACCTGCCCAGTGACTAGTGGGCACAAAGGTTCCCTGGGAAAAGCAGCAATTTGTGTCCCAGGTAGGAGGGAGAGGGACAGCATGAGATTGGGTCATATTAGTTAGACTGGCATGCCATTTAAAACTTATGAATGGGTTATTCCTAGAATTTTTTTTTAGTATTTTTAGACTTCATTTGGCCTGAAGAGAACTGAAACCATGGAAATGAAAACCACAGATAAGGGGGCATGTCTACTGTGCAGTATAAATAATGGATGAAGTGTCATTGGGCTGTCTGGGTCATCATATCCTGATGGCTCTTCAACCGGAAGAACTGGTCTGAGATGGTTTAGCATTTAACCATGGAGGGGTTCAGGCCATGACGTGACTTCGTGATCTCTAAGTATTTCAGCTCTCATTCTGCATATAGCTGTCCAGGAATCCTCAAGCTTCTAATTGAGCTTTTCTCTTCCTCCTCTGAAGGAAAATAAGATATTTAGATTGCATTTGGAAGAATAAATAATTTGACTCTACTGCTTCCAGGAAGAGCAAATTCTGCAGTGGAGATGTCTGAGATTTTGAGGGTAGATCTTTCTCATTGACAACCGTATCTCCCTGAGAATCGGTACCTATTTGAACATAGAGCATCTTTAATTTGGTAGGTCAGTTTTGACAGGTAAAACTGGGTGTGCATTTCAGAACCCTGGTTCTTACCATTTTGTCATCTTATTCTTAAAATTCACTTAGACAAACACAGAATAAAGAAAAAAATGGGCAGATTTTTTGTGTGAATCCTGTGTTTCTTTGGTAGTGTAGAGGATTTGGTCTTCAAGGTGGACATTTTGTATGAATTAAAGAGTTTTTTCATTAAAGTTTCTTCACATTGTAGCTCAAACATAGCAAAACATAATGAGACATTAGTTGGCCATAAAACAATAAACATTATGATATCTACCACCTCTTGCTTCCAGTGGAGGAGGTGTTTCTTAGATGCTGGCAAGTTGAGAATATTTTTTAAAGTGGGATGTATCATTTTCTGTGCTATTTCTCTTTTATAATTCTTTTATTTACATTGACAAAAATCATACAGGATGATTCTCAACTTACAGTGGGGTTATGTCCTTAAAAGCAATCTGAAGTTGAAAAATCTACAAAAATTTTTGTTTGTTTGTTTTACCATGCTAGGGATTAAACCCAGAGCCCTATACATACTAAGCAAGTACTCTACCTCTGAGCCAAACCCTTAGCCCCTCCAAATTTATTTAAGTCCCCAATAAATACATCATAAAGTTGAAAACTTACTTTAAGCCATGGTAGTTTGGAGATTGCTCCCCCACCCTGTGTATGTGCATATTGTTTTGTTATACATACATATTGTGGAATGGCTACATCAAACCATTTAACTTATGCATTATGCATTATATCACATACTTAAGCAAATGTTTTTAGGAACAATATTTTCACAAAGTAAGATTGACACTAGCCTGCTGTATTTTAAAAATTCATGAAAACCTGAGCATGAATCCCTTTCCCCAGTAAGTTTTGCTGTGTCTCTGGTTTACAGGTTGCAGATCTGAGCATGGGCGACCTGCTCTTGCACACCACCGTCATCTGGCTGAACCCACCAGCCTCACTGGGGAAGTGGAAGAAGGAGCCTGAACTGGCAGCCTTTGGTATGTATCAGAAGAGGGTTTCGAGGAGCGGGAAAGGGCTGGCTTAGTTTTTGAAGCAAGAACATTTCTAAGTCACAGTTTATTAAATTAAAGCTATTTATAGTTTTTTGAGGTAGTATTCCTGCTTTGGCTATCACCTTCTTACAAATGCTAAATTAAACCTTCCAGTTAAAAATGTACAACATACCCAGCTACATGGGTGGGTAGACATGGCAGTGCCCTGGTCTATCCCAGGTACAAACAGACAGCAAATGAATGTTTTAATTTTTTTTTGCAGTATTGGGGATTGAACTCATGACCTTGTGCTTGCCAGGCAGGTGCTTATGCCACTGAGCTATATCCCCAGCCTGTTTTAAATTTTTTGCTGCTAGTTCTAGCAAATATTTCAAGATATTGGGTTTATAATAAACCAAGGAACAATAAAGTGAAAGATCAAGAGCAAAATGTCTCTGTGTCTGAGACTCAAATCCTGGATTTTAAAATTTTCTCCCCAACTCTGTATTGCTGTACATTGAACCAGAATTTATGAGGTTAGTTCTCAGCTGAGCTATTGTTGCAACTCTGGATGCTTAATCCGTGGCGAGGTGCATCGCAATTATGTTGTTACTCATAGTAGTGAAAATAGACAGTGGATGAGTGATTTATATTTTTAATAATGTAGTTCAGATCGGTACAATTGCTGCAATTAGAGACCTCATATGATTGTATTGTATTAATATGCTTTTAGAGAGAGAAAAAACCTTGGGGTAGTATACTGCGAGTTGTGGATAATTCAGGAAGTGTAGCTATGGTTAACTATGGCTGTGTAGGTGTGAATATAACATAATGCAGTGCTGTTTTCAAGCACAAACCATCTGCAGCCTGTGCTTTTGTTTTATGTTGTGTTTTTCCCTAGCATCTCCCTAGAAAGCTCAGGAGTAGGAAATATAGCATTTACCATTATCTTATCATATATTATTTTTCTGAGCTGGGGGCTGGGAGGTTGCTTACTGCTTCTTCAGCTGAATTCTTTTTGACCCCCTCTATGATGTGAACAAAATATTCCCAAAAGGAACATCCTAGGCATATTAAAATCAGTGTTTCATGCAGAGATTGATTGGACTTCCTAGTTTGATCCACTTAGCCTTCATTGAAAAATTAGTCATATTCTCAAAATTTCCCAAGAGCCACTATAGCTGTTGATGACATTCATTAAGAATAATGAAAGAGCATGTAAGTGTGCTCAGAAAACATGCGACTAAGTAGAGGATACAAAGAAGTATTGGGGTATTAACCAGCTGACAGTGTTTGATGGGGGGAATGTTTTTGGAGGGCAGTAGTACTTGCTTTGTGCTCCCCATACTGTGATTTCTTCTTGGACTGGCCTGGGATGTCTCTGGTGCATCTCAGTGAGTCATTTATGGAACTTAAGTTACTGACATAGTGCCCGGAACCATCTACTTGTTCTTGATGTTGGACTGTATGCTAGCAGTTTCAGAGTTCACCATTAGGGTGCTTCATGATTTATCCCATGGATTTTACAAATTTCATATAGTTATAAAAAACCAGTTTAGAATAAGAAAATAATTTGAGTGGGAGAAAGTAGGGACAGGCATACGTTTTTCTGTTTGGGGCTGCATAGTGAATTTTGGGCATGGGGCAGTTTGCTATGTGCTTTGCTATTGTAACCAATAGTAACAGTGAATGAGCTGGCTGTGCTAGCAGCCGGTACTATATAGGCAGCAAGCAGAGAGGCATGGGTTTGGTTCAAGGGCCCTAGTCTGCCAACCCATGGTAAATGCCAGTTATGAGGTTTGGGGCTTTAGGTGCCACTATTAATACAGTAGGCTCAGATAGGGCTCTGCGTTCCTGTTCCCTGCTTCCTGGGTTGGTTGTGGGAGCCAGGTGTCAGATGGCTGACTCCCAGGAGTGGGGGCCCAGAGCACCTGTCTTTGTAAATAGATGCTGTGTACCCCAACCCTGGTACTGCAACTCCAGAGCACCCAGCACACTCAGTAGGGGCAGTAGAGATAAAAAACAAAACAAGGGGCTGGGGATTTAGCTCAGCGGCAAAGCACCTGCCTGGCAAGCGCAAGGTCGTGAGTTTGGTTCCCGGTACCGGAGAAAAACCAAAAACAAAACAAAACAAAACAAAACAAAACAAAAAAACCAAGAAACAACTGTGGAAGTTCTGCGGTAAGAGGCAAGGTTATTATTGAGAATGCTTGTACAGTCACAGGAAGGTAATGGTAAAGAAAAAGAAAAAAAGATTAAGATTGGGATTGTAAACCAAGATAGCCATGATAATGAGCATATTTGTGTGTGAGTCTTAGGTAAGCTCATTACCGGTGATGCTGCTGACAGTTTCACTGTGATTTCTAGTAGAGAGGCAGAGCTAAAGGAGCCTTCCAGACAGTGCATTTTGAAGGAGAGATGCGTCGTGCTGAAAGTAGGTTAGTTCCAATTGATCAGGCAGCTTTTGACTTAAAATCAAGGCTCTCTTTTTGTTTTCCTGCAAATCTCTAATTTCAGGGAACAGTTCAGCTCTCTTCTGAAACTGACATCGACTTACTGTCAAACCAGCACCTTGACGTTTTATGCTTGGGGTGGCTCGGGTGTGCTGAGTGTGAATGACTTTCGCCTGAAGAGGAAAATACAAACAAAGGGTGCTTGCGTAGGCTTCTGCATGGGAGGCATTAGGCGTTTGCATTGTAAGTCACAGAGTAGGGACATTAGGCTGAGGAGGGCAGCCAGGAGAGTCACGGCCCTTTCGAGTGGACTGGGTGACCCCGTGTGGTCCTTCACGGTAGGTGGAGGTGTTCATTGCGCAGGTCTCAGTGCTGGGCGGAGGCTCGCACTCTGATCCTCTTGTGCTCTGTGATGGTGAAGCTGAGGCAGATACATTAACCTTCTCAGAGCCAAACAGGCCCTTGAACTGCAGCTCCAAGGATAGAGTGGCACTTCTGAGACTAACATCACTGGGTCCCCTCTCCAGAAGCAGAATTCTGTCACTTTTCAAGGAACCCAGTTCTCCTGGCCACTGTAATTTCAGATGCCCTCATGGGGCAACCCAGAGTCTCCGCGGGTTGAAGGTGCCAGTGCTCTGCAGAGCTGTGGTGGCCTCCACATGTCAGTGGGAACGTGGAAGGAAGCCGCCAGCCTGTCCTCTCGTTTACACCTGAGGCTGGACTTAGCTTCTTAGCATCTCTTATTCTCCAAGCTGGGGATTAGGCTGACCTCACACACGGGGAAGACGGAGCTGCCCTAAGCAAAATGAAGAAGGAGCCCTTTGGGATGGTGTCTGGAGGATGTGTAGCCTGATGGCTCATCTCTGAAAATTCTCAGAGCCTTCATTCCCTTTTAATTCTGTGTCTGCTCTACCAGGCTGCCCCTCCTCCAGCCACTGTGTGACAGAAGGGATGAACCTTCTCAACGGCACCTTTACATGGCGGAAAAGGCCAAACATCTACCTCTGGCCTCTTGTGTTAGGGTACTAAGCACATTCATGAGGGCAGAGCCTGGTCTCTTCCCAAACGCCTTGCCTCCTAAAACCATCACAGTGGTGATTAGTTTGAACATACGAATTTGGGGAGATTGTAGACACTTAGACCACAGCAGAGAGCTGGACACAGAGAACCAAGGACGAGCTGGGACCACCCTCCCATCCCTTCTGGGCACCAATTCTGCTTCCTCCAGGAGCAGTCAGAAGCACTGTGTGAGAGACATGCTTGGCATTGCTTAAAGAATTCTCTAGAAGATTATGCATAACTACATTGGATCTCCAAATCCCCTGAAAGAATATAAGAATAAAACTATATATTCACTTCTCTTAAAGAGCTTTAAGTGGGGATTGCATTCTACTCCATGAATGTCATTTCTTTAGGTAAAAAATGCAAATGTATTTCCTGAGTTATGAACATTATGTGTAGGGTGAGGGGTTGGCTTAATTTCTATAAATGTAAGTCACTCTTCAACAGTTGTTTTATTATTAAAGACATCTGTATTGTTCCTCTACCTACTAAATTAGTTACTACATTTTTGTTGAGTATGTGTCAGCTTAAGTTTTAAACTTAGATTAATATAGCTAAAATTGTTTTATCCAAAAGTTTCAGGAGGGGCCATAATTTCCCTGTGTTTATTCTCTGTTAATTTTGGACCTGGAAAATTCTGCCTTCATAGTCTGTTCATTTTGCATATATGACGAATGTGCGGAAGATAGGTGGGAATCGGTTACTTGGGGTCTCACCCTCCTCCTCCTCTAACTGTTTCGCTAGCGCTCCAAGTTGTCTGGGTTAAGGGGGAAGCCCCACAGATTTTGTGCCATAACTGCATTTATTTTATTTCCTTCCAGTCTTCAAAACCGCTGTGGTCCTCGTGTATAAAGATGGTTCCAAACAGAAGAAGAAACTTGTAAGACTCTTAATTTCATCCTCATGTTTGAAAATACCTTTCCGTATTGTTCTCAGTCATATCTGCTTAATTTTACCCTGTGTCAACAAGAGGCTCTTATGGTTTCTTTTCTTTTGTAAGTGTTCCCAGGGCTCTGCCTTTCAGGAGGCTTCTGTGTGGAGCATGAGATGTACAGCTGTTTCCTCTCTTTCCTCTTCTCTGCCTCTGTCACCTGCATTTGGCTGGCAGACTCATTTGTGCACCCCCAGCGTATTTATCAGGCAGCCTCTCACCTCCTGTACATGAGGGGGGCATTACCTTGGCTAGGCAGTGGAATCAGTGCAGGTGAATTCGTTGTTCTTATGCGGCTGGCTCTTTCTCTCCTTTAGGTGGGATCTCACAGACTTTCAATCTATGAGGAGTGGGACCCCTTCCGATTTCGCCACATGATCCCTACTGAAGCCCTGCAGGTCCGAGCTTTGGCAAGTGCAGGTAAGCTCTGACATGTGCTGGCTTCACAGTCCTCGTGTGTGTGATGTCTGTACCCGCAACCTTGGTCTAATCTGCCTTCTATTTTCTTATATGCTTAACTCTCTTTTCACTCGATTTCTTCATTACCTCTTATTTACCCAGCCATCTGTAAAATACTGACTGGATGAATGAACCAAGTAAATGAATGGATAATATCTTCACAATTGCTCTGGGGAATTATGGTCATTATGTTATATTTAATAACATTGCGATGACTAGAATCTGAGTAGCAGCGAGCCTTGTACTTCTACAAAGAATCCTTGAAACTACGAGCAAAGCCCATGTAAATTACTCACTTACCTTTTAGCTGAGGGACTGAAAAGTTGACCAAAAGTGTGAAAAAGCCATTGAATATGCATTTGTTTGCCTGAAGTATCTATCATACATCTTTGTCTTTGTTATTAGTAGAAGGCATTTGAAATACTAGTTCTTTTTCTGTGACCCAAACAGTAAAGTCAATTGTTGGGTAGCACTGAGAATCCTTGATAATGTAGTTAGATGACTCTTCAGGCATATGAAAAGTAAACTTCAGCCTGGTATCCATTAAGGGTTGTAATATTTCTGAAACTCTAACCCATCCTGTGTTTAATTTGCAGCCAAGTCCTATGTCTGTGAGAATGGGCAGTGGCCCCTCTTCCAAGGGGCTTCCTTGGAAGTCAGGTGGAAACTTTGGCCATGTCTGGTCCCCATTCCAGCTGTAAAGTAGGTGCAGCTTAGGTTAGTAAAGAGAAGTCCCGTAAGGGACACCTGCAGGTGTCTGTCCTTCGTGCTTCTGGCATCTGCTATGAGTGTTAGGTTCTTCCTGTCTGATTTGTGTTGTATGGCCTTCTGGTTTCCACTTGTCACCTCTCTAAGTAATAAAAGTGGATCTGGTCCTGATAGCAAGAACCAGCCGGTCTGATATCAAGAGGAGAAACCTGCAATATTCAATATATTGTGGTTATTCCCCCATTGTGAACTAGATTTGTCTTCTTTCGTGGTTGTCCCTTGTAGTAGGAAAAGTCAAATGCAAAAACCACAGAGGTCACATATGCATGAGATGATTAAGATTTCTTCTAAGCATCCAGTACAGTTTATCATGATGCCTTTTTAGTTAGGACTTGCAAGCTTCACCTATGGGTGACTTTATAGGAACCTAAGGATTGTGTGTCTCCAAAAGCTGCGATGCACTTTGAGATTTAGGCACTTAAATACGAGCACTGTCTTAATGTAGAATCTTAGCTTAAGAACGATCTAGTTCATATATTTCCTATACCAGGTTTATAAATGGGAAGCTTTATTTCTACAGCAAGTTATAGGCTTTCTAGCTAGGAATTTTGCTTCATGAAGGACGTAGGCTTTACATTTTAGACACAAAGCTATCTTTGTGACTTGACATTTCATCCTCACCCTCTGCTTTTCATTCAAATCAAGTTTAAAACCATCAAGCATATTTTAATTGCTGAAAGAACTAGTCAAAGTGTTCCTGTTATGAAGTGCATTCCAGTGGATTTGAGAATCAGAATGTGGAATTTCATGATTTTTCTTATCTTAAGTTTGGGAAAGTTTGTAAAACTTTTTGCAAATGGATTCCAGTTGAGATTAAATAATGTAGCCACAATGAGGGTTTGTAACCAGGGTTCTGACCACTGGGTAGAATGGGGCCTCACTTCCCAGTGGGCAGCTTTAAAGTCTGCGGTGAGCTGTTCCTTTCACAAGCGCTTTATTCATAACTTACAGTAATGCGGTGGTGTTAGCATTGCACTGTGTAGAAATTACAGTTGGCCCTGAACCCACGAGTTCTGCATCCATGAATCAACTAGCCAGCTGTGGATAGAAAATATTTGGGACAAAGCTTATATCTGTAGGGAACATGTACACCCTTATTTTTCTTAACATCATTCCCTAAACAATATAGTGTAACAGCAATTGACATAGCACATTGTATTAGATAGTATAGTAGCCTAGAGATGGTTTCAAGGACATGGGAACATGCATGTGTATTATATATAAATACTAGACCATTTTATATAGGGAACTTATACATCCTTGGATTTTGATACCCAGAGGGGTCCTGGAGCCACTTCCGCTGACAGACCAAGGTTGACTGTATTTGAAATGCGTACAGTTGTTCTTCACCTTCTTGGCACTTGGGAAGGCTGGGGAAGAGGAGCCCCATTCGATCTTCAGGCATCTTATGAGGCATTGGATGTGCCTCCTTATATCACTGGTGTGATGAAAATACGCTTCAGAATCTTGGGCACTGATGGATCCAACTGTTGTCAAAAGAACCAGTCACTTAATTGAAATAGTTTGACCAAACTGGCTACACAGCGGAAGAGGAAGTTCCTCCATCAATATGACTGATTGAAGGACCCTTTAGACCATCTAGAAGGAGATCTTTGCACTGGGAAGTTCTCCAAGTTTTTTTCCCCCTTAGTATATGAAGCTTCCAGTCTCTTCATCTCTCTAGAAATCACAGGACAAGAGTGAAGTATCCTCTGCTGTTCTGCACCATTGTATTGGACAGCAAAGGGTGAAAAATGTTTTTGGTAAACATGTAAATGACTCCGCTTGAAATACACCCTCTTTTGTCCTTGTCTTAACTTATCCAGATGCAGAGGCCAATGCCGTGTGTGAAATTGTCCACGTGAAGTCAGAATCTGAAGGGAGACCGGAGAGGGTCTTCCACCTGTGCTGCAGGTAAGCCTGGCCTGGTGGGGCGCGGCTGTCCAGCTCAGGGACCACCCTTCTACCTGGCCCCCACAGCAGTCTGTGTCTCCTGCACTCCGAGGACTTCTGTGCGCTTGAGAAGTTAACAGTAACTTGGCTAATTTCATATCTGTCTGAAAGGAAGTAGGAATTTCCAGATACACTCAACATGTTTACCTTCTGTAGAATGGAACGGCCTGGTCATCTCATAGTGTGGTATTGTGGTGTTTGGTCACGTTATTTCCACCATAATGTCTCTGAAATGCAGGAGACAGGGCTGCCTGGGACAAACTGGTAGCGCATGGAGTTATTACCAGGATTCTGGGTGACCTTGAGAAGCTCAGCATGAGGAACTTGACCTCTGTTGATCGCCTACAGATTGAACGCTAAACTTACAGTGTAGGCTTCTACTTATTTCGTCTTGCGTGTCTCCTTCCCCTTTCCTGCCCCTCCTCCCTCCTGCCTTCCTGCTCTATATTCCTCTGAGAATTTGAGGTCTTCTCCCAACTGCACCCAATTTTTTTCTCTTTATTTCCCCTGGAAATATCAAGGTAGACGATCCTAACAGACTGTATTGTTTGCCTTTAAATATGTCTATATTTAATCATGCTTTATTTTAATCCTAGGCAATCATGCCGTCCCCATAAAAACAACATAACAATGTTATTATGATTAGTATTGATATTTTGTAATGCTCTCAGTAGTATAGTAAGAAGGTGCACGTACCAAACCAAAAATACGCTGAGCGTCTTAACCTTCGTTATGTTATGTAGTCAGACCAAAGATAACCGAGGCTTGTAGAAGGTACATTGCCTAACACATTATCGGAAAGGAACATGGGTTCAGACTCAGGTGGGTATAACTTTAAAACCTACTGTTTCCGGTTGCTGCATCATCTATTTGGAGATGAGTCAACAGGAATAGATCCCCAGGAAGCTGTCAGGAGAAGTGAAGTTTTTTTTTTTTTTTAAATATTCCACATGTGAGCCAGGAGTGGTGATGCATGCCTATAATCCCAGTACTGTGGAAGCTGAGGCAGGAGGATCTCAAGATTGAGTCTAGATCAGGAAACTTAGCAAGACCCTGTCTCAAAATAAAAAAGTAAAAAAGGGCTGGGGATGTAGCTCACTGTAAAAGACTTAGGTTCAATTCCTTATAACATAGTTATGCATGCACTCATGTACACACACGCACACATACGCACACACACACTCCACATGTGGCTTGAGAACCATTTTTACCATCTGTTTAAAAGTTTTAATTGTGATTCTTTCTGGTAAAGTGTATGGAGTTCAGCAAGCCTGTCTCTAGAGGCACCATGTTTGTCATCAGAAGAAGTGTCAGGTGACACTTCTGTGGGTAAAAATATTGAGAACTCAGCCAAAAAAATAATTCTTACCTAGGGGGTTCTGTTTTCATCTTGAGAATTAGGGCATTGGAAGATTTTCCAGTTGTTAAGAATGTAGCCCTCATGCTTAACTTGAAATGCCCCTAACACTTTTCAACACTTAAGTGTTGAAATGGCTCATGGGAGGACTAGGCATTTAACAGGAGGGAGGCTAATTTTGGAGGAAACCAAGAAATTGGGATATCAATCTTTGGATGCTTGGCAGAGTTGCAGGAATCTCAGAAAACATTTAAAGCTCTAAGATTGTGCCTTAGATTCCAAGGGTGGAATTTGTCAACTTCCTGGGGGGACAATCCCTGTGCCTATCAACGTATTCATTAATGAGCTTCTCGGCCTCAGATGGGGTGCAGAAGATGAATCATAAAGCATGAGAGCTGCGGAGCGTGCCTGCTCATCACCAGCTGTGAGAAGGCAGCTCTGTGTAGAAAGTGACATGTGGCTTTAGTCTCCTGTCCTTCGGCTTGGGGATGTTTGTTTAGCTGCACCGGAGGCCATGGGATGTTCCCATCTGTGAAGTCCCATTTCTCTGACACTTGTAAATCTTCTTCTTTTCTTAGCTCTCCAGAGAGCCGGAAGGATTTCCTGAAGGCTGTGCATTCCATCCTGCGAGATAAGCACAGAAGACAGCTCCTCAAAACCGAAAGCCTCCCCTCATCCCAGCAGTATGTCCCCTTTGGAGGAAAAAGATTGTGTGCGCTGAAGGGCGCCAGGCCAGCCATGAGCAGGGCAGGTACTGTGAGGATTCAAACGTTCAAGATCCCAGTCACCCCCACTCCACTGTAGAACACCAGTGAGCTTGACGTCTTTGTTGAGCGGGAGTTAGATGTGGCCGTGGGGGGCTAACGTGGGAGTATGTTTTTCCCCGGTGTGGAGCTCCTTGCCCTTGTTCCTTCCCCGTGCCTCCCTGGGGATCTGCCCTTTCTTCACTCCTCTTGCCTTCCCGGAAGCCTTCCCTTCGCTGCCCTCTCCTTTTGGCTGGTGAGCTCCTCTCTCATTTGCCAAGCCAGCAAGCGAATGCATCCTCTTTCTGGAGGGGCTATCTTAGCACCCTTGTGGAATAACAGTCGCTGCTTTGCATGACGGCCAGCTTTGTTTAGCAAAAAGCAGTGTGTCGTAGCTCAGCAAGGTCACAGCCACTGTTCTGGGAAAGTGGCAGCTTTGTAATCTGGCAGTACATGAACGCCTATTCTCAGGGGTCCATGTCTGGTAGACCAGATGACAGGTGAGACTGTGGCCCTCGCCTTGTGCCTGCAACTTTATTTTTATCTCAGTGTTAATTTAGGGAAGCCTTCTGCCGCTACTGGAAAGAGAGGAATCTAGCTCTGTAAAGATCCCAGCATAAATATACTTGCAGGACTTACCCTATCACTCTGGAGCAGGAAGGAAAGATCAGTTCTACCACCTATAAATGGCAGTTATAGGAGAGATAGTAGGAGGAATGATATTTTCCTAACACTGAGAGGTACTGAAAGATGTCAAGATAGTCATATTTTAATCACTCCTTTCCTAAGAGGCAGCTGAGAATTTTGCAGGGAGGGTTCCGAGGAAAGAGGGTTCCTTTGCAATTGCCAAAAAAAAGCTTTTTAACCATTGTTACATTTCCACCAGTTCTCAGTGGTGTTGAAGAGACATGGATAGAACTGTAAGTGGCTGAAGGTCTTTTCATTGGCATAATGCATCTAGCTTGACACGGGCTATTACATTTTTTAAGCACCTTAAGTTTATTGGGGGAGCTCTCTAGTCAATTGATTTGTTTATTGAAAACTTAGTGCAATATACCCAGCACTCTGCTGGGTTCTCCAAAGTATTATAAGAGTCATGCATGCATGTGTATCCATACTTTCTCATAGGGTCCCCAAATAAGGACAGTTCCTTGATCCTTTAGAGCTCAGTGTAGAGATTTTTACTTGGCAGTGTTTCCCCTGCTCCTCCTCTTACTGGAGAATGTTTACTTGGGACTGTGTGTTCCAACCTCAGGGAATCTGCCTGTCAATGGCCAGGTTTAAGTTGTTAATCAGTGAACCTAAATTCTGAGCTGCATTTGCTTTAAAGCCAATGATGTTCAGACTGTGGGATAAGCAGAAGTCTCCCTGCTCACGGAGTCCTTTACGGAAAGAAAATAAAACCAGCCCACGACCTAAAATCTAGGTCCTAGATCATCATCGTGAATGCCAAGGGAAAGGCATAGACTGTAGTGAATGGGTTTTCTGATGGTTCACTTTTGGCTGAAGAAAGTATCACTCTGCTTTGGCAACAGTTAACTATCATCAGAATTTTCACTGTTGATGACTTTTAAAATGATGCTTGAATGGATCCAGCCCAGTACTAGTTTAACAGTGAATACTAGAAATACTCAAAGATTATGTCCCTGAAAGACTGAGAGGAAGCCCCCAATGTTAGCTGGGTTGTTAAGTATCCTTTTAATAAAAGACACTCCTGTGGCATTCTTCAGTCATTGGCAGGTAGTTTATTTCTCCTTTTCTTCCGTTTGGATAGGATGATAAAGTCAAATACCTTGGCTCTGCATTTAGTCTAAGAGTGCTATCTTTCTGCCAGTGACCAAATTAAAAATTTTTTGTTCTACCATTTTCTTATGAAAATTCTCAGACTTTAGCATAAGGCAGTTAGAGGCACTCACAGCTCCCATCTATATTCTATGATGAATATTCTTCTATATTTTCACTCTCACCTATCCATGTGTCATCCACCAACTCATCTTTGATACATCTCAAAGACACAGACATTGGCATCCTTTGCCTCTAAATCCTAGCCTGCAAATCATTCACAGCTATTTCCAGCAGTCTAAGTGTGAGTGGAAGGTAGTTCTAATGTAGTGATTAGAGACAGCCAGACTCCATGATGGTGGAAGTAAAGTTAAGGAAGAACTTTTGCTTCTTCCCAGTGGAGAAGTAATTTTTTTCTTTTTTTTTCCATTTTGTGGGAAATGGTTTTCATTCCCCTTTGAGCAAGAGTGGTGTCCCTTTGTACCGTGTTTAGGGATGATGCACCACTCGGAACAGCACTGAGGCACACAGGGCGGTGGTACAGAGGATGCCATAGTGGGAACCAAGCCAGGGCACTGTGGAGCTCTCTGACCTGTGTCTGTGTGTTTGAAGCCAAGGCTGCCTGTGGCCATCTTGAAGACTGGCATCTTCTAGCAGCACTGGAGCTGTTTTGCAGCTTTTAAGACTTAGGTTTGAGGAGCACAGCTCCTCGCTGGAGTTTAGGTCCTTCCCCTCATTGGAAAGCCTGTGTTGCCTTCCGTATTTTTGTGTCTGATGCAACAAACATGTCACTATCAAGGCAGAAGCAGCGGCATTTCATGTGAGCCATCGTGTGTGTGTGTGTGTGTGTGTGTGTGTGTGTTGTGTGTATGTGTTGGGAGTGTTTATTTGCTGGCTTGATTGAGTAAAGTCTTTCGTTCGCTTGTTTTTAATAATTCTGGCTTCCTAGAGGGCACTAAGAATAAATCCAAAGATTTATTATCTAATGACGTGTTCCTCCTAACTTTCAGTCATTTTATTGTAGCACTTTGTGGATAACTGCTTGAGTGTCACCTCTTATTTCTTTCTCATGGCACTCGGTACTGACATTTGAATGGAACTGTGGAAGAATGGGTGCCTCGTGGAATGTATTTAGCAGAGACGAAGGCTCACTTTGCTTAGCCTCACAGTTCATATGGGGCTTTGTCAGAAAGGGGAACTAAATGGCGACTCCATATCTCTGAGAGCTTCTCTTTCCCATGTGTTCTCTAAGAGGGATGTGATCCCCTTAATCTAACTGTACCTCCTTAAATTCTCAGAAAGCAGCAAAACAGACCACTGCTTACCCCTTTGGTACATTGTGGTGGGGTCTACAAGAAGAGCAGGACCCTAGACCCATCCTCCTCCTTACTAAAGAACTATGCTCTACCTGGGTGATCCTGGGGCAGTCCCGGGAGATCTTGGCGGCTCTGTGCTATGGGGAGTGGTTGGGGTAAAACCACTTACTAGTCCCAGGGTCGGTGGTCTGCTGGAGAGCAGTGATCTCTGTGATACCTGCGTCTGGGGTGCACAGGGCGGAGTCATTATTTCAGAGATGGTTGGGTGTCCCTTCCCCATAGTCTGCAACCTCTCCCACGCGCCCACATCCCTCTTTGCTGTTGGGTCACTTGCTGTAGCACCCTCAAAGTTCAGACATCGAGGCAAGGTAAACACTCCCCGATGGACTGGAGAAATCTAGATTCTTAAGCCCCAAATGACATCAAGGCACCAAATGCATACCGTTGAGCTTTTATGTTCCTTTTCTTTGCTTTCTGGATGTTCATCTCATGGTAAAGCCTGTGGGGGTTTATTTTTATATTTTTGTGTGTGTGTGCAGTGTCCGCCCCAAGCAAGTCTCTTGGGAGGAGGAGGCGGCGACTGGCCCGAAACAGGTTTACCATTGATTCCGATGCGGTCTCTGCCAGCAGCCCGGAGAAAGAGCCCCAGCAGCCCCCTGCTGGCGGGGACACTGACCGATGGGTAGAGGAACAGTTTGATCTTGCTCAGTATGAGGAGCAAGATGACATCAAGGAGACAGACATCCTCAGTGACGATGATGAGTTCTGTGAGTCGGTGAAGGGCGCCTCAGTGGACACAGACCTGCAGGAGCGGCTTCAGGCTGCCTCCATCAGTCAGCGAGAAAGAGGCCGGAAAACCCTGGATAGTCACGCGTCCCGCATGGCACAGCTCAAGAAGCAAGCTGCCCTGTCAGGCATCAATGGCGGCCTGGAGAGCACAAGTGAGGAGGTCATTTGGGTTAGGCGCGAAGACTTCGGCCCCTCCCGGAAGCTGAACACTGAGATCTGACTGCGTCGCGTCCCCTTAGAGAATGTGTGTAGATATTCCTCCCTGCCCTGCCCTCCCTCCGCAGCCCTCCAGTGCCGTCCACGAGAATGTCCCTTTAGGTCGCACTCTTGCACACACACAGTTTTGGCAGCTGACCCAGTTCTGAAGCCATGTGGCCACCACCCACCTTCGCCATTGTTAATATCCATGTCGGAAAGAATTGTTCAGGATCCTGAATGAGTTTGAGTCCTATCTTCTGTATATTGCTAAGGGCTTTTATTTATTCTCCATTAATCAGGGCCTGAAGAATTAGAAAAAAAACATTTATAGCACTGGAAAACAAGCTACCCCCCGCAGTTGAAGTAAGTACAGAATTTAAGGCCCAGCACTCATGCAAAAGCCAGTGCATAGCTCGTCCTACCTGAAACCAACCTCAGGTGGGAACCCCACTTCCAAACAGTGAAACAAAACCGGAAACAAACAAGACAACTGTACAGCTTCCCTCTTCAGTGTCTGAGAATATCTGTGTATTTTAAGGATGTGTGAGGAGAGGGTGGTCATTTATGTTTTGATGAGCCTTTTCTTTCTTTTTTTTTTTCTTTCTGTTTTGATCTATGGATGGTCTAACTCTGTGTCAGTGTTTGGAAGCTCTAGTTTTGCATAGAATTATAAAGATACCAAACTCTTGGAAAAGAGATCCAAATTTATCACTTGAGAGAGAGAGAGAAAAAAAAACACTATTTTTTGTATTTTACTTGAGACGCAGGGGCACAAATAGATGAGAATTTTACAGTGTTAGGTGTATCTCTTAGGTCTAAAAGTGAGCATCTAATCTTTTACAGAGAGAGTGAGGCATGGTGACTTTATATTTATATATGAAAGGTCAACAAGAAGCTCATGCTAAGGATAATTTTTTTTTTTTTTCCAAGAAGCAGATTTTTTTTTTTAAATGTTGGAATCTCTACTTGAGATGGGAGTTTGGTTGGATTACCCATGGCAGGAAATGGGCAGTGTGTCGCAGGGGAGGGGAGCTTCCTTTTCATGGGGTTGCCATGGTGATCATTGGTTTTCTCATCAAAATTACATCTTCATCCATAGATTACCTACCCCTTCCCTGACAGTCCATAGTAACCTCTTCTAAAACATTTCTTCTGTTTGACATTTCCTTCATGCCAACGAAACAGGGTAACCATGTTAATAAACCTAACGTTCAAAACAGATATCCAAATAGGAAGAACAAAAACAACTTATAGCACTTTCAATTTTTTTTAAAAGGTTTATAGCTTTTTTTCCCTTCCCTTTCCCATTTCACAATGTCTACTTCCTAAGAAGGGTTTAAATAATATGAAAACTTTCTTTTTGGGGAAAAAATATCTATTTGGTGTTTGACACATCAGTAGGTACTTTAAAGACCTGAATTTTATAGTAGCTTTAGGAATTATATTTTATAAGAATCAGTTATGACTTTATATTTCCAGACAATAGAGAGTTCAGAACATCATGCTCTGTGTCCCTGCTTGCTTTCCCTACTGCTCCATCCTCTGTCCCCTCCCCTTTCGGGTTTCCAGGGCTTTGAGCTTGATCTTTTGAAAGTTTTATTCTATTAAATTTTTGCTATATCTTCTGGTTTTCTTAAAAAAAAAAAAAAAAGCTTTAGAATGGTTTCTATACCCTTTGTATCACTGCATTGTTCCATGTCATCTCGGGTTTGATTGGGTCCTGATGGAAAAACTGAAGCAGAGGTGTCGAATAGTTGCAATTTGCTGGTCTCCCTGCAACGTGTCCATCGAAAAATACTGGAAAGTCTGGTGCTTGGAGAGGTGCCATTTTCTCTTGTACATAAGGTCATGATGTGTCTATGTCAAAAGTTCTTATATATTTCTTTTATAAGCTGAAAGAAGGTCTATTTTTATGTTTTTAGGTCTATGAATGGAACGTTGTAAATGCTTGTCAAACAATAAAAACATGGAAAAGTGCCCGGATGGTCCTGAGCCTTTTTGGGAAGGGGGATGAGTATGGACTGTGTTATTGGAAGTCCAGAGGAGGAAATTCCTGAGAATCTCTTTTTTAAAAGTGACTGTTAATGATCACCAAGGAGAGCTGTGTTGGTAAGGGTTGAAGTTTTGAGCAGAAGCAGGCACTACAGCTGCTCTGTCTCTTGGTCTCAAAGTTTGGAGACTGGAAAATGCCAAAGATACCCAACTGCGATCTGCTGGGCACTGCGTTCACCTCTTAGTGTCCCTGGGAGATTGGTTCCAGGGCCCTGTGGATACCAAAATCTGCAGACCTTCAAGACTTGTGTAAAATGGTGTGATATTGGCACATGACCTACACACATCGGCCCATGTACTGTCACCTTTAGATTACTTATGATAGCTAGTACAGTATAAATGCGGTGTAAGTAAGTGTTATACTGTGTTGTGTAGGGAATAATGACAAGAAGTCTGTACATCTTAGTAAAGACACAGCATTCTTTCCCAAATGGCGGGTGGAATCTATTTCATTTCCCATCTCTGACCTTGTCCAGTGGGAGCAGGTGGGAGGGGTGCCAGGAGACGCGGGGTGAATGGCAGAGCTTGTGAAGCCCCTGGTGAGGACGATCTTAGGGCACTGCACGTTTTCCTACCAGGGAGCGGCTGACTCTTTCACAGGATAGCTGAAAAAAGGTGAATGTGGCTGCCTTTCCCTTCCTGGGTCCCTTACAAACCGTGGAGTCAAGAGTTTGCCACCACACCCGCCCTCTAGCTGAGAAGGTTTCCTCTTTCCTGCCTGCTCTGATCGGGAAGAGTTCCCCCGGCTGGCGAGTCCCCGTGTAGCCCCTTACTCGGCGCATCCTGACCCTGAGCGGCAGCAGCAGCAGCAGCAGCGGCTGCCCTGGTTATTCCCAATGCAGAAGCTCCTCCCTGACCCACACCGGCGCGGCTAAGCCTCCGTTTTAACCAAGCCCCAGAGGTGGCGCTCGTGTCCTAGAAACAGTTTAATGACTGCAAATATTTTGAGGGTGAACAGTGACACGCGTGGGTGTGCAGCTTTGTACTTGAAACATTTAAACATGAGTGCATCGTGTATTTATTTTAAGATACATAAAGGTTTCCTTTGGTACCTACTGCATCCCTTGACGGGTGACCGAGTCCAGGTTAATGCTGGCCCAGTGAAGTCACCCAATAGTGTGCACTTAGGTAGAGCTGAGATTTAGGAGCTGAGACTGCTTTCTTGTCCAATAGCTGCGTCTACCTGTGCGGAGGAAATGCGTGCTCAGGGTCCGTGTTAGAGGTGTAATCAGTGCTTTCCCACCCCAGCTTAATTTCTTCTTCAGGCCTGTGTCTCACCAGAGGCAGAAAATACCCTCAGCACAGCGGAGGTCAGAGCACCTGCTCCACCACATGCCTCAGTTCTTGCTCAGCACCTGCATCTTCTCCCTTTGGCCCCCAACCCAGGGCTGGGAGGCAGTGACGCCTCCGCTTCACTGCTGCCGCTGGAAAGCTGGGTCCTGACGCGGTGAGAGCGGCCGTTGCTTCCTTGGCCTCCGTTCTCTGTGCCCTCGGTGAAAGAACTCAGTTGAGACACTTAGGCCGTGCAGCCGTCTAGGTAGAATTTACTGTAAAATAACCTTACAGAGTCACACCTCTCAGGGAGAAGGTAGTCAGTGCTCCAAGTTCGAATTTGGATCCATTTTTATGGACCCGAGCTGCTCTCGGGGTCCGGGGATCTGGGCTAATTATGCTGCTTATCGATATTCTCCTTAGAAGTTACTCAGGAGTTGCAAAATGTCTTCCTGACCTTTTTAGATAATCAGTGCATCCTCATGGGCTCTAATCGGATAAGAAACTTACAAAAGAGAAGTTCTTAATTAATTTTTCAATTATGTATTTAATTTAGTACATCATGATTACATTCCTTGTGAGAGGTCAGCACCTGTACATAATACAGCTTAGTTACTTTTTCGTTTCATCTCCCTTGCTGCCCCTCCCACCCCCATCCTTCCACCTCTTCATCTCCTTCCCTTTTGCAAAAGTTCTAGGTCCGTATTTCCTATGATCTGTTATTTTGTTCTGCATTTGTATTTTGGGTTTCTCCCAAAGGAGAAACTGTGTGATGCTTAAACTTGTGTGTGAGATTTATTTCCCTTAACATGGTCTCAAGTATACCCATTTTCCTATAAATGACTCAAGTCCATCCCTTTTTATGGCAGGGTAGTACTCCATTGTGTATAAATACTACACTTTCTTCATCCATTCATCTGTTTAAACCAGGTCCCAGCCTAAGGCAGGAAGGTCTTTACAGAACATTTTCTTTCCTGATATCATAGGGCTGGAGGCTATGATACCCAGGAACGCTGTGTGCTTTGTCCTGGGATGAAACGGCCAGGTGGCCAGGAGTCAGAAGGAATGTGCATGATGTGTAACCTTAAAATGTCCTTGTGCCCTGAGGGATTGCTTTAGTCTGAAACTTAAATGGTTTTAAACGTGTCATACTGATGCCTTTGTCTTACCTGGCAATACTTGCTTTTGATTTTTTGGCCCTGGCTCTTTTCCCTTGAGGCCCATTAATATTTAATCACTGGCCCAACGCTGGTATCTCAGTGCATCAGTGTTCTAAGGCCATGAGATGGGGCCAAGGTTGCACCTTCTGCTGTGGTTTTGACCAATCAGGTGAAAACTGGCCTTGGTAGAAAAGACGGTGGAAAGTGCTTTGATTGTTGTTTGAAATTTGTAGTTACCCGCCAAGTTCTTCACAGCCTGGTAAATATTTAAAACTTAGTCTAGATGATAGGAAGCTGTAAACAATTAAAAAGTTTAAATTTTTATGTAGAACTTTAAAAAAGGGAAAAACCACTTTGAAAGTGCGTTTGATTTTTGTGCTTAAGTATTGGACTATGCAGGTTTTGATCAGATTAGCAATTTGTAGATTTGTCCTATGTCAGGGATGCTATTACTTAATAGCTAAGTCTAAAGTGCTGCAATTTTGGAATTAAAGAATTAGAAGCTGGGCATGGTGGTGCTGCCCATGATCCCAGCAGCGTGGGAGACTGAGGCAAGAGGATTGCAATTTCAAGTCCAACCTGAGCAACTTAGCAACTTAGGGAGATGTCTCAAAATAAAAAAGAGCTGGGGATTTAGCTCAGTGTAAAGGCCTTGCGTTCAAGCTACAGGAGCAAGATAAAGTAAAGATTTAAAATCTGTTCTACTGTGTCTTAGTTAAGAGAATATGGAAATTTTTTCTGCTTGAATTTTATATGCACATTTACATGCTAAAAGAAATCTACAGCACACATACATTTAGAATTAGAATTCCATCAACTATTTAATTTTTTCCTTCTTTTTCTTACTTAAACTTCTCCAAACAGCGTACAATTTGTCTTAACTTTAAGTTAACAGTTTGTCTTAAAATTAATCACATTATTGGCTCAGTTTTATAAGGGGCATGTTTGAGGATTCTATCATAGTTTCATTGATACTTTCCTTCCCGTCACCTGGGACCCCCCATTTTCAGGTAGTTGATAGTCCTTGAAATTATTTTTAAAAAGTGAGTTTTTAAAATTGTAAATGATTGTGTAGGGGAAGAAAAATGCTCTCCATCCTTCTAGGTTCTTAGCTGGGACCCCTGTAATAAAAGGTAAGCGAGGAAAAAAACCCCAAACAGTTTACTAACTTGTCTATTTCGTATTTACATGGAAGAAAACTCAAGGAAAGCATAATTCTCAAAGAGGTGGCTTGGAACTTCGGCTTAGTGCCTGCAACAAAGAAGAACTTTCTCGGGAAGGTGAGAAGGCAGGAAAAGGACCTTGAGTCTCTAGGGGCAGCAAGGGGGAGAAAGCAAATAAACGAGAAGGCAAGAGGAGATAAAGCTGGTCAGGAAGGTTCCTCCTGCAGGTTCCTCTGGTGCCATCTCCCGGCAGGTAGTGGTATAAACTCTCCTTCTGGTAGAGAGGACACGGGGCGCTTGCTGTTAGGCAAATACAGGGATGTCCGGGGCTGCTGGCTTTTCTTGTACCTGCTGCCTCTCCAGTGCCTTTGGATCACAATACAGTTTGTGCCAAAATTGCATCCTTTGGCGGGGAGCATATCCTGCTACTCTTCATTTGTTTTTCTTTTGCTCATTTTTTTCTGTAGTAACCTGGAAAAGTTAGTCTGGCTTCTGTTTACAAAGAGCTGTGTCCTGGAGTCCAGGTTAGTTTTTTGTGTTCAGATTGCCACACTCCAACAAAACCATTAACCCTGGGAGCAGGATTTGAGGTTTCTGCCAACATGCAGTAGTAGATTGCGTTTTTGTATGTTAACAAAAGCACTGCTTTGTGCAGGGAAATG